AACTCAGGCGAACAGGCCGCACAAGCGTGGTTTCGGGCGCCATGAGGCCGGAGAGCACGACACAGGCGACTGCTGCCGAGGAGCTGAACTCGGGCGAACAGGCCGCGCAGGCGTGGTTTCGGATGTCATGAGGCCGAAGAGCACGACACAGGCGGTTGCTGCCGAGGAGCTGAACTCGGGCGAACAGGCCGCGTAGGCATGGTTTCGGATGTCATGAGGCCGAAGAGCACGACACAGGTGGCTGCTGCTGAAGAGCTGCTTCGATTGGATCTGTTACGCTGTGTTGCGGGAGGTGCTAGTGGCCGAGTACCCTTCGGTTTGTTCGGAAGTCCAGGGGTCGAACCTTTTCGTGAATCGCCAGTTTTCGAGAAGACCGGCGACTCAAGCTCGTTGGTGCCACGTGTAACGCGCCTGTCGGTCGCTCTGTCAAGCTGTATTTATGACGGAATGACGTTTGTGTTATCCCGATACGACGTGCTTGAGAAGAGAAAGGGTCGTTGTTTTTGGCAGGATTTTGTCTATAAATAGTGCGCGGCTAGCCTCTCGAATGTCTGCTTACTTGTTTCTATTCTGCCGCTCCGTACTCCACCGTTTTCGTTTGCGCCGATCGCTCTTCTTCTTTTTCCAAAGGTCGGTAAGGATGGTGTCTTCTTCCCCTACCTCTTCACCCTCTTCCCTGGCTAAAGACGAGCAAACGACGGTTGTGTCGAACCCCAACTCGTCTTCTGACGAGAAGGCGACCCGGGCCCTTGAGGCCCTGATGTGGCCGCACGACCTCAACTCCACTGTGAGCGAGTCGTCACTCAGTCGTCTCCGGGACCTCTATGGCATCCCGGAGGAGTTCACCCTCCATGCCCCCGAGCCCGGCCAATGGGCATACGATCCGATTCCCAGGGGTTTCGCCCTTACCCTTGATGCTTTTGAGGCCGGGTTACGCCTCCCCTTGCACCCCATCATAACTTCATGTATCTCATGGTGGCGTATCTCCCCGACTCAGATAGTGCCCAACTCTTGGTGCTATCTGGTGGCGTTCCTGGGGGAGTGTTACTATGCTAACATCACCCCGACCTGATCCCTCTTCCTTTCTTGTTTCCGGCTTTCCAAAGGGTCGGGGGGTTACTATCTGTCCGCCCGGGCGAGTTTCCGAGTGAGTGGGGCTCCTTCCAGTAATAAGGGATGGAAGGGGCGTTTCTTTTTCGTCAGCCGCTCGGAGGACTGGGGGTTCGGGCTTCGATGGGCGGTGCGCGTGATAGACAACACCGCCCTGGGTCTGGATGATGGGGAGCACCGAGAGCTCCGGAGGCTTAAAGAAATCCTCCCAGCCTCAAGAGCCATCTGGAATATGTCCGAGCAATGGTTGGCCGAGGTGGGTCTTAGCCCGATGCCTCGAGGTATGTCCTGAGGGGTAGCTTTAGGGTTTACTTTAGGGATCAATTTGCCAGCTGACCAATGTTGGTGTTTTTGCGTAGAGATGGTGGTTCTCCGAGACCTTCGTGGGGGAAAGACCTCGACGGCCCCATCCACGCGTTCGCCGGTCGAGGCGAGGGCCGGCTCGAGGGAGGCCCAAATGGACGTTGAGGCTGGTCGCCCTCGGAAGAAGGCGAAGACCTCCTCGGCAAAAGCCTCTGGGGGGTCATCGGCCCAGCCGGCGGGGGCTGTCGTTATACCGACCGGACGCGCCAGGAAAAGCCTCGGGCGGGGCGAAGCCGGCACAAGTAGGGATGTGGCGGGGAAGGCCCCTCGAGAGCCCTCCGTCCGTGAGCTTTGCCGCCTCCAAGCCCGAGGGGAGGACGAGCCCTACCAGGCGCGCGCGATGGGTGATCTTTCTCCGGGCGAGCCCTCCGACCCGCTGACGGCCCATTGGGAAGGCCTTTCCCGGGGCAGCCGGGTGTGGGCCGACGGGGATTCCGCGGGCGGGTTTGTCCGCGGAGGGCTTCATCCCGACATAGCTCTGGATCTGTATACTTTGCCCTCGGAGGTTCTTCTTGTCAGATCGGCTAAGTCGCTGCTATGGGTGAGTGTTGTTCCGCTGGTTCGGTTGCGTGTGTTTGGATAGCTCTTGTTCTGACCCGTTTGTTTGGGGATGGGCCACAGAGCTGAACCTCAACTGAATCCCGTAGCTCACGCAGAACTCCTGGAACCGAGCACTGGTGAACTGGGATCCATTATCCGTGATGATGGCCTCTGGCAAGCCAAATCGAGTCACGATGTTTTTCCAAACGAATTTCTCCACTTGTCGTTCCGTGATCGTCGCTAGTGGCTCGGCTTCGGTCCATTTGGTGAAGTAATCCACGCCCACGACGATGTATCGTCGTTGCCCCGAGGCCGGTGGAAAGGGCCGAGGAGGTCCAATCCCCACTGAGCGAATGGCCATGCGCAGTCGATGGGGGACAGGGGGACCGCCGGTTGCCTGGGCGTTCGGGCATACCACTGGCAGGGCCCGCACCGCTGCACGTAGGTTCTAGCGTCTTGGGACATGGTGGGCCAGTAGTATCCTTGACGAAGGATTTTGTAGGCCAAGGTTCGAGCAGCAATATGCTCCCCGCAGATCCCCTCGTGGACCTCGGTGAGTACTGCCTTCGCTTCGCCAGGCTCGAGGCATCGCAGCAGGGGCTGTGAGAAGGACCGTTTGTAGAGCCGTCTGTTCACCTCAGAATACCATGCTTGCGTTCGGCGAATGCGGCGCGTCGCAGCTTCGTCGTCGAGAAGGACCCCGTTGCGTTTGAAGAGCAGCATCTCCTGTACCCACATGGTGCGCGCTTCGTTCGGAGCTATAGACGAAACTAAGATGGTTCGAAATGGGAGATCTTTGACCCCGGAGCGGTTTCCATGGTCCAGTCCCGAAGCCATCTTCGCCAATTCGTCGGCTCGTTCATTTTGGTTCCTCGACACCTTAGATAACGTGAAGCGGGAGAAGTTGGAGGCTAGGCTTTTTACCTCTGCCAGGTACCTTGCCATGGTTGGTTCTCTGGCTTCGTACCCATCGCCAAGTTGCTCGGCGATGAGCTGCGAGTCAGTGAAGACGTGGATGACGTCCACCTGCATTTCAAGGGCCAGCTTGAGTCCTGCCAGGAGTGCCTCGTATTCGGCTTCATTGTTGGTGGCCCGGAACCCGAAGCGGAGGGAGTGTTCAAACGAGCGTCTGTCGGGAGCTGAGAGTACCAACCCCGCGCCGGCGCTGCTGGAGGTAACCGAGCCGTCCACGTGCAATTCCCATGCCTCCTCTGTCTGCTCGGGGCTTCCATTCCCGCTATCGGCCAGTTCCGCGATGAAGTCGGCTACGGACTGGGTCTTGATGGCAGTCCTTGGAACGTAATGTATGTCGAACTCTCCGAGTTCTACCGACCACTTGAGGAGTCGACCTGCGACATCAAACTTAGACAAAACCTGCCGGAGCGGCTGGTCAATGATTACCTCAATCATGTGAGCCTGGAAGTAAGGGCGTAATTTCCGGGGTGCCAGCACGAGCACCAAAGCGAGCTTTACGAGTGGCAGATACCGCTCCTCGAGTCCGTTCAGGACGTGGCTGACGTAGTAGACCGGTAGTTGCTCCCCGGAAACTTCTTTGGTTAGGACGGAGCTGACCGCGTGCTGGGAGGCGGCCAAGTAAACACTGAGCTTTTCCCCGAGAATGACCGAAGCAAGGCGGGGAAGGTTGGTCAGGTACCGCTTGACTTGTCCAAAAGCCTCTTCACACTGCACCGTCCACCGGAAGTCCTTGGGGTTTTTTAACGCCCGGAAGAAGGGGAGGCAACGATCACCGGACCGAGACAGAAATCGGGATAAGGCAGCAAATTGTCCGTTTAGTCGCTGCAGGTCCTTGACTGTTCGAGGGGCCTGCATATAGATTATCGCCTGAACCTTTTTCGGATTCACGTTGATTCCTCTTTCATGCACGATGAATCTGAGGAACCTTCCCGAACTGACGTCGAACGCGCACTTTGCCGGATTTAGCCACAGGCCATACTTCCGGAGTGTAGAGAATGTTTCGAACAAGTCGGTCAGGTGGTCTGGCGCCATGCGACTTTTGACGATCATGTCGTCGACATAGACTTCGACGTTCCGCCCGATTTGAGCGACGAACATTTTGTTCACGGCCCTCTGGTAGGTGGCGCCTGCGTTCTTGAGCCAAAAACGGCATGACTTTGTAGAAATACACCCCCAGATCGGTGATGAAAGTCGTGTGTTGGTCTTCAGGTGTCATTCTGATCTGGTTCTAGCCGGAGAATGCGTCCATGAACGACAGGCGGGCATGCCCGGCTGTCGCGTCGACCAGCTAATCGATTCTTGGGAGGGGATAGCAGTCTTTCGGGCATGCCCGATTGAGACTCGTATAGTCAACGCACATCATCCAGTTCCCATTAGATTTTTTTTACCAGTACTACATTTGATAGCCATCGCGGGTATTTGATTTCCTCAATAAAGCCAGCCGCTAACAGACGCTCCACCTCTTCACGGACGGCGAGCTGCCTATCGGGGGCTTATCGTCATGGTTTCTGTTTTACCAGCCGGGCGTCAGGTGATATATTTAGGTGATGCTGGGCGGTCTCAAGGTCGACGCTGGTCATGTCGGATGGCAACCAAGCGAAGACATCAGCGTTCTCCTATAAGAAACCGACGAGCTGCTCTTGCTCTTGCCCGGGGAGTTCCGACCCGACCCGGACCGTCCGATCCGGGCGATCCTCCATCAATGGCACATCGCAAGTGGGCGCCATCGGCTCCGGGTGTGGCGTCGGTCGCTTCTCTTCTCTCGGGTCTTCAAGAGGCTGGTCGGTCCTCGCCTTTTTGTGCAGTGAGACCACCGTCAAGTAGCATCGTTTGGACTCTCGGGGGCTTCCCCAAACTTCGCCTGTCCCGGCGAGGGTAGGAAACTTCACCATTTGATGATAGGTGGAGACTACAGCTCTGATTTTGTTGAGGGTGCGGCGGTCGAGGATGGCGTTGTAGGCAGTAGGAAGATCTACCACCAAATAGGTAGACATCACCGTCTTTGTTCGGGGCGGCGCTCCTAAGGTGAGGGGCAAGGTGACAGTCCCCAATGGCGAGACAGAGTTGCCGGTGAACCCCGTGAGCGCCGAGCAGATAGGCTTTAGGGATTCTTTTGTTAACCCCAACTTATGGAAGGCGTCCAGATAGAGCACATCGGTCGAGCTCCCGGTGTCGATCATGATTCTCCTCACCTAGGCATTAGCGATTCGAGCCATTATCACAAGCGCATCGTCGTGCTCCGGTGGCTTGACGTCCTCGGGAGGGAATGCGACCTTGGGGTCGGGACCATGTTGGGGAGGATCGATCCTGGCGGAACGGGCATATGCCTTTCTCCCCGACATACTGGTTCCCTCAATTACCGGTCCTCCGGTGATGACATCGATGTGGCGCTCCACGGGGCCCTCCGGGAGAGGCGAGGACTCCCCGTTACGTCGGATGTACCGATTTAGGTGTCCCCCGCGGATGAGCTCCTCGATCTGCCGCTTCAGTTCGCGGCAGTCTTCGGTGTCGTGACCATTTTGCCTGTGAAAGCGGCAATGCTTGGACTGGTCGGCGAGCTCTCGCAGGTTTTTCATCGGAACGGGAGCCCTGAGTAACCCTCTCTCCATTATCTAGAGAAATATCTCCGTTCGAGATGCGCCTAGGGGGGCAGAGGAGGCCTCGGAGTGGGTAGGTCGGATTGGTCCAACCTGCGCCTAGTCGCGGCAGGCTGTTGCCCACGAGCCGGTTCCGGTCTAACCCTTGTGTGCTTTTCCTGCTTTCCAGCCATCCAAGCCTTAGCCGCGATGAACTGGTTTGCCCGCTGAAGCATCTCTGGTACCGCGGAGGGGGGTCTCTCAACGAGGGACCAGAAGAATCGGGAAGGTCGTAGTCCTATCATGAACGCCTGCATCAATAGAGAGGGTTGAGCGTCAGATAATCCCCGGATCTGCGTGGCAAAACGGTTCACAAAGTGGGAGAGGGACTCATCCTTCCTCTGGTGTAGTCCGAGAAGCAAGGCAACAGACGGTTTCGGTCGTGCGTTGGCTAGGAAGTTGAGCTCGAAGTCTCTAGCGAGCTGGTCGAATGAGGCGACAGTCCCGGTCCTCAGGCCACCATACCACATGCGGGCTGGTCCTCTTAGTGTTGTGGGGAACGCCCTGCACATCAGAGCGTCAGAAGTTCCATACAGTGTCATTTGGGTGCGGAAGGCGGCTACGTGGTCCGCTGGGTCGGTTGAGCCGTCGTACGTGTCGAGAGACGGGAGACAAAAGTTCTGTGGGATCGTCTGATCCCGTATTTCGGGGACGAATGGGGATCCCTGATGTATGTCCTCCCCGAGCTCCCCTCTCGACCTGCGGACCTCTTTCTGTACCTCGTCAAACCGTTGACTGGCGAGGAGCAACTGGGCTCGCAGGGAGTCCATCGAGGCCGAAGGAAAGGCCTCGGGTTGGGTGTGGCCCCTCCGGTCCGTCGTGACTCGATCCGTGAGCGGGGACGACGGGACCCGAGGCGAAGTGGGAAGCTCCAGGGGCTGCGCCTGAGCCTGAGCAGGTGGCTCCTGCTGTCGCACTGGTTCGGCGGCCGGGGGGTGCATCGTTCCTGAGACGAGTGGAATAATGGACTGTATCATACCAGTTAGAACTTGGACCTGATGGGTGAGGTCGAGAAAGGCTTCGGACGAGACGGGTGGTGGTTCAGTGGAGGGGGCGTCGGGCGGTAACAAGCCCTGGTCGTTGAAGATTCGCCAATAGCGCTCTGAAGTTGCGGCGGGGTGTTCGCTACGGAGACCTGTCCGCGGGGGATGTTCCCCTGGAACCCCGGCCGGATGCGCCCCCTCGACTACGGTTTCGGCCGAGTCGGCCTGGCGATCCCTTGACATCGGTCCTCCTTCTAGTGCCATTATATTAGTATAAACAACTTTTTAGCCGTGACCTCGGGCCCGACGCGGCTTGGTTCGGGTCCAGATGACGGGTCGCCAATTCCTTCGAGAGGGGGTTCCTTGCCAACGTGCCCGGAGAGAGACGCCTCGCCTTCATCCTTGCACACAGGTCGGGACGGGAGAGCTCGACCCGACCCCTCCGACGATCAAGTCAGGCGAATAATCGTAGTGGGGTTGTTATCTATGTTGCTCTCCACCCTTTTGTTTAGAATGCAAGGGTATTTATAGGGGAGTTCGGTGTTACCTGATGTGCTTGCCCGTAGGGGGTAGGATCGTACCTTCTGATGACGTCTGACATCGCTATCGGCGTAGCGTGCGGAGTCGAACCTGAGCGGTCGTTAATGGGCCTCGGTTGACGTTACGGCCCGTGTCAGTCACGCGGTGTCAGACTAACAGGGGAGCGGGGCGTCAACGGGTGTCACGCAAGTCTTATCGTAATTATTGCCCTCATCAATGTTTATGAGATTACATTTACTAGTATTTTTACTTACATTCTTTAATATATAATATATTTGTGTAAGATAAAGAGTAAGAGGGAAAGAGAAGAAAGCAATTGTTTCGTGAAGCCGCCATCTGCGTAGTTGCAATCGGATGACCCCATGAGCTTGACTTCCAACATAAATATAACATTAACCTAGAATTTGTACAAAGAAACTCCAATTGAATCTTATCAACTAAGTACATAAAGCTGGAGTAGCTCAGATGGTTAGAGCGTGTGGCTGTTAACCACAAGGTCGAAGGTTCAAGCCCTTCCTCTAGCGGAAAAATCTTTAATAACTCATATTATTTTATATTTTCTGATTTCGTTTGTTTTCGATTACATTTACTAGCGTTCTTCGAACCACTTTTTATGATAACTCATATTATTTTATATTTTTTGATTTAATTTGTTTTCGATTTCGTGTTTATGAGATTACATTTACTAGTATTCTTTGAACTACTTTTTATGATGACTCGTATTATTACAAGCCTTTCCTCTAGATTATATTATTAATCAAGAACTAATACAAAGAAATTTTAATTAGATTGTATAAATTTAATATCCACAGCTGGAGTAGCTCAGATGGTTAGAGCGTGTGGCTGTTAACCACAAGGTCGAAGGTTCACGCCATTCCTCTAATTTACTAACTCAAAAAGCATTTTTACTGGCATTCTTTAATATATAATATGTTTGCGTAAGATAAAAGAGTAAGAGGGAAGAAGAAACAAATCATAAGTTTGAAATTTAATCAATTTGAAATGATAATATTTTTAGATATTGATTATACAAATTTACTCAGTTCAATGAGCGCATTATCTTTTTTTCTTACGAAAGATCCTTAGGAATAAATAAAGATCAACACAACTCGATTAACTTCACAATAAAATCAGAGTCATTGACAAGGCAAAACAATATGATGGATCAAAGTTCGACTACTCAGCAATAATCATGGAGAAGAACTAGAAGCTAAGAGGTGTGTTGTAACTGGAGTAAAAGATTAAATATTCAATAAACACAAAGAGATGTAGCGTTCGTGAAGGATTCGACGAGAGAGTTGAAGGAACAAGTGGAGGAGAATATCACAAACAAAGATATAAACAAGGTGTTCAATGGAATGCTTGTGTATATTCATTTCTTTCAATTTTGTTTGTACTTTACATAATATGTAAAGAGCTTGTAGTAGGCTTGACAATTCCATTTTGGTTGGTTTTTATGATCAAGCTTATAAATATAAGTTGCATGTAGTCATCACGTAAAGATAAAATTATCCAAAAATAAACCATTTAAGCAATCATTTTGGAGGTTATAAACTCCCTAGAGTGGTGCGAAGTGTCAGCCAATACAATTCTTAAGAGATATCCAGTGACACATGGCTAGATGAGCCTCTAGAGTAGTATCTAGGGCTAATTCATTATCATATTCTATAGTAGTGTTTTGTGGGCACTTTTAAAGACTTTTAGTCTTGACGGACCATCTCAAACTTTTTGTTACATAATTGTTTAAAGCTTGCAAAGTCTATATTTATAATTTGTATTACCTATCAAGTGTTTACTGATAGCTACTTGTGGATCCCGAGTTATACATTTTCTCTATCTCATATTTTTTTTGTAGGTCCATAAGAGACCATACGAGGTTTCAAAGAGATTGACTCTTTATAGATGGATACACAAGGACGTTGTATTACCTAGATAAAACCAGCTAAGTTCGTATTAGAAGAGTAGAAGCTAGAGAACTTTTTATATACTAGAACTTTGAAACTTTGCCCTTTTCGAGTAAAACTTTTTATATACTAGAAGTTCGATGGCATTGAAGAGGCGAATTGTAGTAGTTAACTCAATGCAAGGAGTAAAATACTTTAGATGCTTTAGAAGTATGAGCAAAGAGCATACGAAGGCTAATAACTAGCTTGATACATGAAGTACAACCCTCGAAGAAGTAGACAAAATCAAATAATCTTTATCTTCTTAACTCTTAAGAGAATGAGTGAAATTAAGTACTCTAGTTCTCTTACTTATCTAACAAAGGAGCTCTATACATGTTTAAAGATTTTTCGAAGAAATTTAGTGGAAGACAAGAGTTGTTAAATCCTCATCAATGATGATCGATTCTATCGAGAGTATATTGTCTATCTTATTTCCCAACAAAATGTCAATCGAAAAAGAAAGTGATGCAAACTTACTTAAAGGTGATAACTAAGTAGAAGAAGAATAAATTGGCAAATTTTATAAAGAAAAAATGTCAAAACTTTAAAGTTAGTGAGGCGATACTTATTAAAGTTCTAATAGGCATTCAACATGTTCAAGCGACAAAAGACATTTAAGAGACTAATGTATGATAAGGAAGATCTTTTCCTTCATTTGAAGAATCCATTTGAATCAACTAAGATCAGTATAACTCGATCAACTCTACACCGAAGTCAAAGTCATTAGCGAGTTATAATAATGTGGTATATCAAAGTTCAACTACTCAACAATAACGATAAAGAGTATGTAGGAGCCAAGTGACACATTATAACTAAAGCAACAAATTAAAGATTTAGCAAAGGTGAAGAGATGTAATATCCATAAAGGCTTTGATGCAGATATCAAAGGAATAAATATGAGAGAATGTTATAGACAAATATGTGGATAAGCTGTTTGTAATACTTATATATATCAATGTCTTTCAATTTTGTTTATACTTTATATAGCATGTACAAGGCTTATAGTAGTCTTAGTAGTCCTATTTTGGTTAACTTTTATAATTATTTTAATCTTATAAAAGTAGGTTAAATGTGTTGGGAAACCTTGGAACAACATGTTTATGCGAAAGAACAAAAAATAAAATCCTAAAATTTCTCACAGAAAAGAAGATTTCATCATTATATGAAGATTGGTGCATAAAAATCATAAAACCAAAAACTACGAATATAAGAAAGATGTGTTATCTAGGGAGATTACATATTCCTGAAATCCTATAGATCTATGGGAGAGGATGAAGGAGGTCAAGTGTCCTCCTCTCTAACAGTGATCCATACTATAGAGGCTATGAATATGCTCCTCAAATCGCTGCACAAACCTCCTCTTCACACGCACCATGGGATCAAGAAGGGGTCGACCCTTCTTGCTATCCACCACCCCCCCTCAAATAGGAGCTACTAGCTAAGGAGGAGAAGGGGAGAGGAGTATAGTAGA